CTGACTTTTCCAGAGTGTCATACAGTTCAAATCATACAGCATGTAGGCTTTTCAGAGGGGCTTCTTTCACTTAGCAATATGCATTTAAAGTTCCTCCATGTCTTTTTGCAGTTTGATAGCTTATTTCCTTTTAGCGCTGAATCATATTCCATTGTATGGATGTACCACAGTTGGTTTATGCATTTGCCTATTGATGGACATCTTGGTTGCTTCCAAGTTTGGGCAATTATGAATAAAGCTACTGTAAACATTCATGCGCAGGTTTTGTGCGGACATAGTTTTCAATTCATTTGGGTAGATACAAAGGATTGCACACTTAATTTTGCAAGAAACCACTGGACTGTCTTCCAAACTACCATTCTGCATTTCCACCAGCAATGAATGAAAGTTTCTAGTATCTCACATCCTCCTCAGCTTTGGTGCTGTCAGTGTTTTGGATTTTAGCCATTTTAACAAGTGTGTGGTGATATTTCATTGTTTAAATTTGCAATTCCCTAATAACATGTTGTTGAGCATCTTTTAAAATGTGTTTATTTACCAAGTGTACATCTTCTTTGGTGAGGTATCTATTATCTTTTGTCCATTTTTAAAGTGAGTTGCTTTCTTGTCGCTGAGTTTTAAGAATTCTTTGTATATTTTGAGACCAGTCCTTCCTTCATTAGATAATGGGTTTTGTAAAGATTTACTCCCACTCTGTGGCTTGAGTTTTATTTTCGTGAAAGGTATAAGGCCTGTGTCTAGATTCATTTTTTTACATGTGGATATCCACTGTTTGTTCCAGCATCACTTATTAAAAATACTATCCTTTCTCCATTGAATTGCCTTTTCTCCTTTATCAAAGACCAGTTGACTACCTGGGTCTATTTGTGGGCTCTCTGTTCTGCTCCACTGATTTATTTATCTATTTGTCCATTCTTTCACCAATACCACAATCTTGATTCCCGTAGCTTGAGAGTAAGTCTTGTAGGCAGGTAGTGTCTGTCCTCCAACTTTGTTCTTCTCCTTCAATATTATGTTGGCTATTCTGGGTCTTTTGTGTCTCCATATAAACTGTTAGAATCACTTTGTCAATAACCACAAAATAACTTCTTGGGATTGTATTGACTCTGTAGATCAAGTTGGGAAAAACCAAAATCTTGACAATACTGAGTCTCCCTATATATGAACATGAAATATCACTTCATTTATTTATATTTAGTTCTATGATTTCTTTCATCAGATCTTATGTTTTATTAGATTCATACCTAAGTATTTAATTTTTTGGTACTAATGTGTTATTGTGTTTTTAAAGTTTAACCATTCATTGCTGGTATACTGATATTGGTAATTTGTGTCTTCTATTTCCTTAACCTAGCTAGAGGTTTATCAATTTTGTTGATCATTTCAAAGAACCAGCTTTCAGTTTCATTTATTTTCTCTATTGATTTCCTGATTTGAATTTCATTGATTTGTGTTCTAATTTTTATTATTTATTTTCTTCTGCTTATTTTGTGTTTTATTTGCCATTCCTTTTCTAGTTTCTTAAAGTGGAAGCTTCAATTACCGATTTTACATCTTTCATTCAATGCTATACACTTCTTGCTAAAGCATGGCTTCCACTTCAGCCCACAAACTTTGTGTTATATTTTCATTTCATTTAGTTTAAAATTTATTTAAATCTCTCTTGAGAATTCTTCTTTAGCCCATGTATTATTTACAAGTGTGTTAAATCTCCAAATGTTTTTTTGAGGGTTTCCAGGTATCTTTCTAGTTTTTGATTTCTAGTTCAATTCCATTGTGGTATAAGAGCATACTGTGTATGGCTTATCTTTTTTTAAATTTGGTAAGGTGTTTTTTTATGGCTCAGAATGTGTTCTATCATGGTGAATGTTCTCCATGAACTTGAGAAAATGTGTACTCCGCTATATTTAGAATATGAAGTATTCTATAGATATCAATTAGATCTTATTGATAGTGTTATACAGTTCAACTATGTCCTTACTAATTTTTTTGACTACTGGGTCTGTTAATTACTGATAAATTTTGAATTTTCTACCTGTATTAGTGGATTCATCTATTTTTCCTGCAACTCTATCGGTTTTTGCCGTATGCATGTTGATGCTCTCTTGTTAGGTGCATATGCATTTACGACTGTTATCTTTCTTGGATAATTGACCCTTTCATCATTCTGTAATGTCCCTTTTTATCCCTGACAATTCTTGCTTTGAAGTCTTCTTTAAATCAATTTGGTTACTCTAGCTTTCTTTCTTTTTTTTTTTAAAGATTTTATTTATTTATTTGACAGAGAGAGAGATAGCGAGAGCAGGAACACAAGCAAGGGGAGTGAGAGAGGGAGAAGCAGGCTTCCCGCTGAGGAGGGAGCCTGATGTGGGGCTCAATCCCAGGACCCTGGGATCATGACGTGAGCCGAAGGCAGACGCTTAACGACTGAGCCACCCAGGCGCCCCCTAGCTTTCTTTTAATTAGTGTTAGCTTGCTGTTTCTTTCTCCATCTCTTTATATTTAAAGTGGGTTTCTTACAGACTGCATATAGGTTTTTAAATATTTTACTCCCTTCTTCCTGCTTGCATGATTTCTGAAGAGAGGTCTGATATATTTTTTATCCTTGCTCCTCTACACGTAAGATTTTTTTCTTTCTGGCTTCTTTCAAGATTTTCTCTTTGCCCTTGATTTTCTGCAGTTTGAATACAATATACCTAGGTGAAGATTTTTTGATATTTAATCTGCTTGGTGATCTCTGACCTTCCTGATCTGTAGTTTGGTGTCTGTCGTTAATTTTTGAAAATTTTCAGCCATAATTACTTAACACAATCTCTTTCTTTTCATGCTGATATTCTCATTGCACGTATATTACATTTAAAAAAATTGTCCCAGTTCTTGGATATTCTGTTTTCATTCTTTTTTCTCTCTGCATTTCAGTTTTAGGAGTTCCTATTGACATTGCTTCAAGCACAGAGATTCTTTCCTTGGCCATGTTCAGTCTTTTCATGAGCCCATGAAAGGCATTCTTCATTTCTGTTACACTGTCTCTGATTTCTAGTATTTCCTTTTGATTTTTTTCTTAGAGTTTCCATCTGTCTGCTTATATTACCCCCCGTTTCCTGCATGTTGTCACTTTTCCCATTAGAGCCCTTAAGATACTAACCATAGTTGTTTTAAATTTCCAGTCTTATATTTATCACACCTGATGCCTGCTCTATCTTTTCAAACTGTGTTTTTTTTTTAATATGCAGTATAATTTCTTGTTGAAAAATGGAAATGATGTAGTAGGTAAAAGGAACTGAGGTAAATAGTGTGAGGTTTTAGGTTTACCTGGCTATGAGTTGGACTATGTTTACTGTCTGCTGCAGCTGTAGGTGTCACAGGCTAAAATCTCCTCTGGTGTCCTTGTTTTGTCTCCCCTTGTTGTCTTTGGGATTCCCTATATACCTCTTCCTTAATAAACCCAAAGATGAGCATTTCTTCCAGTTGTAAGCCCATTATTATATGGGCACCTTGTTGATGTGGTGGTAAAGTAGGTGTGGGGGAGAAGAGTTCCACAGTTCTATGATAAGGTCTTGGTCTTTTACTGAGTTTCTCCCTCTGCACTGTGACCTTCTCACACTTTTTTCTCCTCCTCAGGTGAGAGGAGTAAAGCTGGGGGGGCTGGAGTTGGGTATTTGCTTTCCCCCTGGTCAGTCAGGCTCTGATAATAATCCAGCAGTTTAGGGTCTGGTAAAACAATTTCCCTTGAGGGATGGCATTCCTAGGAAGAACAGAGTGCGCCGGTGTATTTCAAAATGGCTACTTCCCCCTCCCCCTGCTAAAAGTATGGGAGAATTTTTAGAAATCTTCACTGTGAGGTTCTTCTAGGGCTCCTGGAGGTAAATCACACAAGTGTGGGGTCCTCTTAAGAATGGGCTCCTATTAGAGTTTTTATTTCTCAAGTTTGTCCACACTGAGCCTTTGGCAAATCTTCAATTATAGTTTAAGTTCTCCTACTCCGGTATTGGCTCCTACTGTGGTTTCTGCTCCTGAGACCCTGATCTGGTAATCTGCGACTCTCTGTACCTGTCTGGCTGTCTCTCCAACTTGTGGTCAGTGGTTTGCCCTGTGACTTCAGTTTTCTGAGGGATTTAAAAAGAGCTGGTGATTCTGAGTCTGTTCAGCCTTTTCCTTGTTAGGAGGATGGGAGTGATGACTTTCAAGCTCCTTACATGCCAAACTAGATCAAAATCATTTTAAAATACGACACTTGAAGACTTATTATAATCTTATTTAGCTGTAAAATTTTCATTGGTTCATTGCTATTTCTTCCCAGTTCTCATCTCTCTATTGCTCCCATTTAGCCACACTTTGAGAACACAGGAGAGTGGTGGGTTCCAGAAGAGAGGCTGACATTCCAGTGAAGTGTCATTACCTGGTAACATGGGAGCTAGGTCTCCGAAGAGACTAAATTAGTTAGAGAAGACATGCGTAGAGTTTACAAGCTGTTTACCAAAATGTTTGCTTCCCTCAGTACAATGGCTTTAATTTAAACTGACTATATGAACTTGCCTTCATTTGCAATCCTTTGAATTATCCAGCCAACAATTTGATCACAGCTCTAATAAGCCCACTCACATTGTTACTTCAGAGTTGGGATCAGCTTAATATTTTTACTTGAACAGCATAAAAGGATCGTCCCTTAACATTTAAATGTGAAACCATTTGGGTTGCTTTTCTATTTAAGACACTAGAGAAATCTATTTCCTCGAATACAAAACAGTAAGGAAAAAAAATTTAAACTAGAAACTATAAACAAGAAGTTAAAATGAAAATTTCATGGTTATTTTAGACATGTCTTTAATAAGCATTCTCCCTGGAGTGAGGTGGGAGAATCTAAGTTACTGGTGAATCTGTGCAGTGTGTTCTCTTGGCATGAAGACAGAATTAACTGTCTTGATTCCTGGTTTTAAAAAACATATATGGATACACATACGTGTGTGTGTGTATTAAATCAAGTTGCCTAAGAGAGATTATTATGACAAACCCAAACAGAGTATATCTTTTAATTTTCTTCTAAATGTTTTAGGATATAGACACACAAAGACACTGTTTACTTTTATGACTGGCCCAGTATTAGCTAATCTCAGTGAACTGTGGGATTACAAAATATAGCAAATCCCTATCTTTTCACTTCCTTAGCAAGATTAATTTCTAATTCAAACAACACATACTAGTCTTTAGTAAGGGGGTTGCTTATATTCATAGAATTTGCAAAACAGATTTGAATAAGTATTAAGCTTATTTGAAGCTGAATATGGGAAACATCCCATGAACGTGGCCAACCATATATGAACAATGTGAACAACTCCAAAGAAAAATTTTATTTTGCAATACACCTATTTTTGTGATTATGAATATATGGCCTCATCCAGGGAAATTAATAAACTATCTACTGTACAAACCCATATACCTGGGGCTACAATGAAACCAGTGAACCTAATGTATGTTCCTCATGTACGCCAGTATGTTTTCACTTGTCCCCGTGATTAAGTAAAAGCCCACAGCACTCGTATGAAAACAGGCCCATCATAACTTTGGTACAATTACTGCAGCAGCAATAAAACTATAACATACACACAACCTCATATAGACGTGTCTTAAATGGATGAAGAAAAATAACAATATAATTTATTTAAAAAAAAAACTCCAAAGATACTTTTCTTGATTAAATCTGTGACCACTTCATTTTTCCTGCCTCCTTAAAAGATTCTCAGAGTTGATCTGTGAGGCCTCTTCCTTCGGTTATATTTACTCTGTCCCATGTCACATGCTCATTAACTGCATGAACAGTTCAGCCCACATACATGGAACAATAAAAAAAAAAAAGAAAGAATCTATTATCAGAAAAGCGGTATGTTCAGGATTCTAAGGAAATCCACAGAAAATGTCCCACTTAGAACATATTTTCTTTCTCCTAAAATAAACATAATGAGGCAAATGTTTGCATGAAAACAAACAACACAAAAGCACAACTCTTGGAGGAAAAAAATCTGATATTTACCAACAGTTTGGGGGGAAGTGAGATGTGAACACTTAAATGATGCAGTCCATAACATGGATCTGGAGTGTGTCTATGTCGGGCAGAACTTCTCCACATTTGGGGCAGGAATGAATTGGAATATTCCGCTGTTGCTGCTGCCGCCAGTTTCTGTCCTCAGCTCCTGGGAATAAGCATTAAATGAAACGCTATTCCATTTCTTCCATGTTGCGAGTGGCTTCGTTTGATTTTAAATAACAAACGATTAATATTAACACCTGCTCAACTTTGCAACAGATACCTAAAGGGGAGTGAATACAGGGTTTGTTTGGGAGGGAGGGGGTCTTTAACTTAAGAAATCTACACACACAGAGAAAACCTCCCAAAATGGTACCTGCTTTCCTATTACTTTGGGATTTGGGCTCTAGTCTGGGTTGTAGGTATGTGAAAATAGAGTGGTTTCAGTTCTAGGTACAGGACAACACGTGCTCTAATAAAAACAAGAATATTTGAGAGAAGGAACCAGACAGATGAAGATATGAGCTACAGAGGATGAGAAGGTGGAGAAAACAGTGAGCAGCAATGGAGAGATATCCTAAGAACAGTGTGAACCTTCTCAGAAGCAGAGCCAATAACTACATTCACTTGGCCCATGTGTCCGAGCACCCAGGAGGTGGACGAGATGGGTACAGAGATGGTGGGGACTTCAGGCGAGAAAAGCAACATCAGGAATGCATGAGGGACGGGCTATCCTGTGTCATGCACAAGGCAGGTTAGTGGGAGGACAAAGAAGGGCGCCCTGATGAGACCCATTGCACTTGAGAGGAGTTTTAGGCACAGGTAAGGGCTGCCCAGGCAAAGTAAGGGATGAGAAAGAATGGAAGAATGGGTCATGTCATTTCGTCCAATTTTGGAACTGCACCGAGGGTCAAGTCTAAATTAAAGAATGCTCGAAATAAGCCTTGACTCTAAGTAGGTCCCACATGTGCAAACTGTGATCAATGCTGGAAATGACTTCTGGCTCCTGGGACATCGCCTTGGTCTGACCTTTCTGGATCAATGCAAATCATTTTGATCTCAAGACTTTCTGTCAGCCTCCGGAATGTTTGTTTTTGGAGGCTGACTGTGGAGGCAACCTTTAACATGGCTTTTGGCTTCTGAGCATATTATTTGAATTGAATAATATGTGAGACTGTTGCAGATAGTTTGTGTTCAGCAAACTCCAGAAGCACCCTTGAACAGAAATACTGACAGGGTATGAGTTCTGAAAGTGGGGGACTTTCTAATGGTCCCATGGTCCTAGATCAGGAGTCAGTCAGCTTTTTCTGCTCTAGATGACAACCGGGCACTACCAGGGACTGCTGATTCTTCATTTGAGACTTTCTTGCATCCATCTGTGCCCTTTTTTTTTGTCCTGGTCTAGGTTTCGAGACTTAGGCTGTTCTATTAGTCAGTTAACAGGTTCCCTCTACCTCCCAGCTCTCTGCTATAAAATAAGCTTAGTCAGTTTTCATTGTTAACACATCACACTCCTCTCCGCCCTGGACCCTTTATTCTCATACCATACTTATGTAAATCCTAGCTTCAAGGTCAAGCTTAAAGTCACACCTTTTCAAGGCCTTTCTCAACTCCCCTGGCCCTCAGTGATCAACCTGTCCTCTGACCTTCAGCACCATTATTTCTATTACTTAAATATTATCTTGTTTTATGAACCCATCTTTTTATGTGCCCCTCCTGTCTCTCCAACCAGGCCACACGCCACCACAGACCTGACCATGCCTTGTGCTCAGCTGAGTGTAGTGGACCAGGGCAGGTGCATTGATGGCCACAGGTGACCATAATGATGAAATACAGTCAAGAGGAGATACTGTTTAAGGCAGCTTTGTTATGAAGCTAAAAAAATTATAATAGTAAAAATAAAATAAAATAAGACTCTTAAGACAGTCTCTGTTTGGAATACTGCTATTTACAAGACAAAAAGCTTATTAGGATAATCATGAATAAATGTGTACTTTGTGATGATTTTTGGATTATAAATATAAGTAGAAGAGTATGTGACTGTTTTTTTTTTTTTTTAACATAAATAGGCATTTGCCTTCTTTAATTATGACAAAAGAAAATCTTCCTCTAAGAAATTCAGGTGCAGGGGCGCCTGGGTGGCTCAGTCATTAAGCGTCTGCCTTCGGCTCAGGTCATGATCTCAGGGTCCTGGGATCGAGCCCTGCATCAGGCTCCCT